GCCGCAGCGAAGACGGAGCTGAGGGCCATCCCTGAAGTCGACTTTTTCAACTGTTTCGAAGATTGGAAAATCCGTTGGCATAAGTGCATTGTATCGGGAGGGGATTACTTTGAAGGCGATGAAATTGATTTGGAAGAATAAATAAAGAATTTTCAAAATAAATGCAATGTCACCTTACTTTTTGGACACAGTAGTACTATAATAAAGTGTATGTGTGTGTATGATGCAATAGACATGCGGCACGCATGGCACAAACATTATTACATTCTAACACGAATCGGATGGAGTGCAATTGAAAATTTTCAGGATATTCGAAAATTGTGTTTGGATGCGTGGCAGAGATGATCGAAATAGATGAGCATGAGAGCAATCGAGAGCATAAAAAACAAGGGGGGAATCACTCAGCTATTACTTTGCTATTGGCCACTATTGTTTGCAATTAGTTTGCTATTTGCTATTACTTTTCTCCATGCAAATCTGAAAAGTAATAGCAAACTAATAGCAAAAATAAAGTAATAGCAAAGTAATAGTTACACAAAAAATAATTGCTATTACTTTTGAATTTCAACTATTACTTTGCTATTACTGCAATTACTTTCTAGTGATTTCCCCCTTGATAAAAAAGGAAATCACGAGCACATAGCATAAACAAAGCAAAACAAGTAATAGTCGGCGTAACTTCTTTATTGAAACGAAGAAATCACGATTTCCGATTTCAAACGCCTGCGCGTGGTACGAACTGGCAACATATGTTGATGACATATCAATTAATGTTCCATACCGGTGATTGTGAGCGTGTCTCTCAATGTCTATATCTTTGCATACGACGGCCGGTTTCGATATTGCATTCAACTTTGTTGCTCAACATACGAACATTGATTTGGAGAAGTGAAAAAAAAACGTAGTCGAGGGGAAGATGGTATATTACGCAATAATGACATCTCTGTTTTCATCGCTTCGTTCCGCTTGATTTTGTACTTCAATTTGTTGCTTTGTATGCACGGTCTGGACTACATATGCCAGCGTTTGAGACTCATTGAAAATTATTTAAAACTTTCGAAACACTATAGCCTCACACACGTCCCCTGTCAAAATAAAGCGTCACTCCCACAATCACAAGGCATCCTTCCCAATTAATTCGCTGCAGACCATTGTTATAGCTAGGTCAATTCGAAAATGTTCAATGAAAACTTGGAAAAACTCAATAATTTTTCTCTTCAAATTTCAAACAAGAAAAATTGAATTTGAAAATAAAAGCAAAACCATGTGTGGATTGAAAATAAATGGTTTTTTTTTGTATCGCAACAGAATCATATTGGTCTGAAAAGTGAACATTGCACAATGCAATTCGAACAACGAATGCAGAGAATCGGGCATTTGCTGTATATGGTACATAAAGGAGTATTCGATTTCCTAGAAACCTACCTGAAATTACAGCCGATTACAGCAAGTGCATCGCCATTGGCGTTCAATTACAATAACAAAGTTGGGACCCATTTATTCACGTACCCATTAAAATAATTCGCGTTTCGCACAGTACAGAAAAAAAACAACAAAGAAAAATAGTAAAATGAATAGCTCAGCTTGATACGAGATATGAGAAATTTCATGGCAATTTTTCTTTTTGAAATAGAAACTTGCACGACGACGCTTGCCTGTGCTTCATTCGTCCTTCGATTTCGGAATCAATATTGATATATACATAAGGGATACTCACTGTTGTATTGCATTTAATGATTCGTACTACGGGAGAAATCTCTGGTATTTCGTGCTTCGTAACACTGACATACGAGAAGAAGCAGAGCAGTATATAAGACACCTTGCAGCCACTTTTGATCTTTGTTTGATTGCTAATGTCAAGCGCATATGGTTCGCTGTGAGCGCAATACGAGAATAAAAACAAAACCAACAACTACACCAATTCATTCGTAACCGAGATGTAATCGAAACAAAAGATGTTTTTTTTTAGCGAAATATCAAGTGCTAAACATCGAATTCAAATTGTTTTCGCTGCGATTCTTTTTATCGATCCCGTAAAAATGCTGTTGTTGCATGATAAACAATCGCACAAAATCACTTTGCATTTTCATGTTGGTTTTCGATAGTGTGGGCTGCTACGGATGCTGTACTGTTGCTCACCGGTTTTATTTTAATAATATTTAATTTACAATCACACATTGTGCGTTATTGTTGGTGTTGGTACGGTGATGCTAAGGTTTTCCGTCTTTTTGCGATTGCATTTCGTTCGTTCGTTTGCATTTATCGAAATTAATTTTATGCGTCAACTGTGGTACAAATGAATTTATTCGAAAAATAAAAAAAATGCCTTCGAATGAACCACAAAGAGAAAGAGAGAGAGAGAGAGAGAGAGAGAGAGAGAGAGAGAGAGAGCGGGCGAGCAAAGGGATCATGTCGTTTTTTCGTGTTTGCGGTGTAGTGTGTGTTGTAGTCAACAGACACATGTACGTATTTATTATTATAAAACTTTTTTTTTATTACAGAATGTTTTCAATAGTTTTTTTTATTTAGATTTTATTTTACGTTCTCACTCCACACTCTCTCAACCGAAACTCCGACGTATGCGTATTTATTTAAATGCTCAGCCATTATTAGCATATTTATCCAACCAATTTTGTGTTTGTTGCGTCCACCCAGAGCCACTGAGAGATCGATATGATTGCACCGCGATAAATGGAAATTCAGCAAATGTGATGCAAATATACGTGTGCATGGGCCATATAGCTGTAGTACCTCTGTGCTGCGGCTGCTGTTGCTCCTACCAAAATGCTAATGTAAACCCATGTATAATGCCATTCTGCCCATGTGAAACATTGCATATACTCGTTTTCAACATCGACATAATAAAAAGTTCATGTCAATTTTACGCATGCAAATTTGATCGTTTGCATTCGCGTTCCTTCTCATTTCTTTTTCCGTTGTTCAAATTCATTTCATCGAATGAGCTTTAGTGTTTTCATGAGTTTCAGTCTTATGTTTGATGGGATTTCATGTTCGTTGCTGCTGCCATTGCAAATTTCACTTTTTTATTCGCAAATAAGATTCAATTATTTCAGTATAGTGTAAATGGAGAAAAAATGAAAGAAAAAACTGTAGACCTTCGACTAAATGCATTATGTTTCTCAAAAATCATGTAAGAGCCAACAGAAAAAAGATTAGATCACATACTCAAATCGGAATTTATGTCAACTATTTCTAGTGGAAGCATTGCATATCAGTTGCAAATCGACGAAAGAAAAAAAAGAATGACCCCCAATGAGGAATTATGGTATTCTTGTAACGCGTATTGTATGAAAGTGTACACCGTTTGTGCACACACTGTGTACATTTTCATTACAAAATTGTTACAGATTTGTACACATTCCTCATTGGGCCACGAATCGAACTTCAGTTGCTATGGTAAGAATGCGTTTCAAACAGTGTTGGATATATTCAAATATACACAACTTTTATTATATGTAACGATTTAATTGAGCTCAAATCGAGTAAATTAATTTCAACTCAATATTTTACCGAACCACATGAAACGAGTCCTTCATGTCAATTATAATCGGACTTAAAGAATAAGTGGATGCCGTCATTTATCGCACTCTAATTTGATTTTCGTGCCGTTCAAGTCGTTTGATGACTCTAGCAAACGGAGAAAAAATTAAACGCTGAAAAATAAACTGCAGCTAAAGTAGTAATTTGCATTCGTAATTGCTACTTGGGCATGGTGCAAATTGGCATGCTTGAAGCAGCACTCAAAAGAGAAAACTACATAATAACTTTGCAATTCTATAGAATCGGAGAATGGAAGCAAACGGTCGGTTGGCTAGTGTGATTAATGTGAATTCTAGCTGGAAAATGAAATAAAATTATTGATTTAAAAAAAATAGCGGTTGACTTCATTTGTCGGGAGCATCGTTTCATCAGTCTGTCAATATATTGTGGCGCGCAATGTCAATTCAATTTTCGTTACAATTCAGTGATAACATGTGTTTACATGCCACTCGCGGACGTTCAAATAACACGCTGTCATGCAGAAATCTACAAACATCGTGCCAAAGCGTTTGTTCTAATTTTTTGTGCAATCACTCTTGACTTTTGCGATTGAAAGGAACGGAAATTCGATTTGATTTGTACACATGAACTGGCAACGACAAAAAATTGCAGCGAACGTTGGTTATGTGTCCCTTTGATAACGGCCGTATGCATTTCATGTGGTAGTTGAGCCTCAATTTGAATTAGTGATAGGCGTGAGTTCAACACTTTCATCGCCAACACGATTTCTTCTTCATATTTCCATTCTTCATCCACACATTCCATATATAACATTTTCTCCTCTTCCATTAACGTTCCAGTTTCAATTTCCCCAGCTTTGATAACGTATGCGATAGACATACATATTCCAGTCGAACCCAACATCCTATACTAGAGCGCATTTTATTGGAACGAACGTATGATGAAATTAACTTGCAATTCACTTTATCTAAACGGTTACTAAACATGCATCGATGCGCCAATGCACGATCTATGCTGATAAGAGCACACCGAATGTGAACAAATAGTAAGTAGATACCGGCTGATGTGCATTGAAATCCGAACGTAGCACGAACACAAACGAATCAACAGCGAAGAGCGTAAGATGCGATTCGGAGGGGAATCGATCAAAAGGAACAGAAACGAACAACATGAATGAATTATAAACGCTAGAATCGCTCAACGTTTGTTTCCAAATTGGAATGGTGCGTGCGTGCTACACTACACACGTATTGATATGACACTCACTGTGGCTGCTGTTGCCTGCCGCTAATGTTGCTGCTGGTAGTCTGTTCTCCGTTTGTGTGTGAGTGTGAGTGTACTCTCGCAGAGCGGCTGCACTGTTCTCCGTCGTCTGCATTTGTTGTTGTTGTTGTAATCGTTGGTAAGCGGCTCCTTACTCTTGCTTCGATGACAATGCTCGGGTATCGATGTTTACAAGAACATTACTTCACTTCAGTATGCTATGGAATGACAAGCGAGTCGCGCGCGGTTTATTCTATTCAGACGCATCATCCGAATTTATCGACTAACGATTCTTCGCTTACTAACGAAACACGTAAACAATACGAATTTGTTCTTTGGGGATTTTAAAAACCGATCGTGTTTATTCAAAATAGATATGGTTTTGAAAAGAAGTGAATATACTATATCGTATTAACCATCTAAAAATTACGAATTGAACAATATAAAAGAGAAAAAAAATGAATTCTTGTGATTTTTTTTTCTGTTGATGTTGAAAGATTTTTTGACGTTGTTATTCTGAACACAGAAACAGTGATCAACAAACAGTGTGTTTTTGATACGATTTTTTATGAATTGTGTTTCATGTCGTGAACTATTCAATGATTCAGTGCAAAATCAATTTGAATCAAATTGAAGAAGCGAAATTAGTTGAAATTCAAAAAAGATCTGAGTGTGTATGATAAAGGAGAGAACCGATTGTTTTAGATCAATAAAAGCGTGAACACAACTGAAAATCAATTGAAACGAATGCTCATTTTTGGTAACCAGAATATTTCAGCGATTTTGTGGAATATTTCAAAGACTGTTCAAACACAAAGTATGTGTCCCATTAATTTGTTTAATTTTAAGTGTTAATATTTAATGAAGACTGAAGTATCGAATGGCGATCGCATTTTGAGTATTCAAATGAAAGATACACGGCGCGCGTGTTCATCAGCCAACATCATGAAAACTAATTAGTTGTTAAGCAAAGCGAACAACAAAAGAAATACAGAAAAGCAATGAATTTTGCTTTAGAGAAATGATTAGCTGAGCCTGTATTAACCCTTGATCACATGTTTAATGTTTCAAAATGTGTTGTTGTCATCGTCTTGTGCATGTCACGCGAAAATCATTTCGTCGAGATGTTTGCTGTTCATTAAATCGAAATCATTCGTTTTATGAAGTGGATATATCAGATGAGATTCTTATGAAATTTCGATTTCACATTCAGAAGAGCTCAATTCCAAAATACAGTTCAAATCCAAGTTTGTTACAGTTCAATGTGCTGGAGTATTCAGTTAAAAAAAGGATTGTTCTACAATTTTGCTAATGTAACGTGAAATATGTAAACAAAATCATACGCATTTCATCTCGTAATCGTTCCATCTCATTTCTAATTCAGTACACATTGTGTGTCATGTACACACCATCGGTGTATGTGTATGTGCATGTGTGTGTGTGGTTTTCATTCGGAAAATTATTTAATAATAAAGCTTCCCCCCAAAAAATTACGAAAACAAAATGTGCGCACTGAGTTGAAAGAGAGGAAGAAAAAGAAGAGATAGCGGTACACGATCCGGAAAATATGTATGTGAAGCGGATTCAGCCACTTAGTAGTGATGGCAAACGATGCAGCCACATTCCCAAAGTTGCATATAGTTTGTGATTGGTGGTAATGAGCTCACACACCTCAAAAGTTAAATCGTCCGGTTGATGATGTTTTGGCTGCTATTCCTGGTACAAAATGTGTATGTTTGGACTGGTTGGCTCACATTTGATAACGACAAATGTGATGTGTACGTGTAGACGAGTGGAGACACAATGCGTTGTCGGATATGAATGAAAATGAATATTTCATGTTTATTATGTCCCACCGAGAGATAAAACAACATTACCTTAATTAAGGAAAATGTTCGCGCACAAACACACCACACACACAACCATCGACATGAGGTCGAAGACTCTCGCTTTGCAATTCGTTTAGCTTTTGGTGTTTTGTCCATAGCAGCGTTTGTGAACACGACAAACACAAGGCGATGGCATAATGCAAGGCAACAAATGGGAAATTCAAAATGCCATAATTGTATGTTTCAGTGCCTGTCGTCGTCATTGTCATAGTCATCGTTTGAAAAACATCGCATTCGTTTCTGACATTGACGCGTTTGTAGCTTGTTTCCTCACTCACTCGAATGGCACGAGTTTTATGAAAGTTTCGGTTTCCATTCCGTAGATATGACAGGCATTTCTTGAAGACGACAACCAGCAAGGAGTAGCAATGGCAGCAGCAGCTGAGCAAATAGTCAACTTCGAATTGAAACAAGGAGAAGGCGGTTTGCCTGTTGTCACTGTCAACTCAGTGTACGTGAAAGCGATTTGGGTAAAATGTTTCAACCAACAAGCGAATGAATATGAAAAGTGCAAATAAATCTCAAAATTGATGAAGATATAAAAAGAACCGGGAAAATGACGAAAAACATAGCGACAAAAGAGGGCGAGAGACAGAAAGAAGAAGAAAAGCGTTCTGTGGTAACATTGCAAATGACGTTAAGAGTTTTCCGCACATTATATTCGCCTAATTGTTGATGTGAGCCTGTCATCACGGCAAAATACGCCTAATTCTATGTCGAAAGCAATACAAGACTTGCAAATCACAAAATGACTTCATTGAAGAGCTACTATATTCATCCAGTTGTTGGGATTCACTTGCTCGCTTCTGAAGCTGCACGCCCAGCCATTGCAGCCCAATTAAAAGAAAAAATCTTGGCCAAAATTCACATGAATCACGAATTTTATGCTTGAATCAATTTTTTGCCCGCATTTTTGCGCACCACTTCATTCTCGTTGCCACAGCTAAAATTACTTGAAAACTCTCGGTAATTTTGCTTAATTTAACATCTTTATTTCAGCCATGTTTTAGTAATTTTAATCCAGATGTGTATATGTGCGCGCGCGCCAGAGTCAGACGCATAAAGAGTAAGCAACAGTAGCATGGGTGCTGTTCTTGGTATTCGCGACACAGTTTGAAGTCATTTAAATAAAATTACATTAATGTCGGGAGCATTATCATCATTTCGATTTTTAGCACTGCACGATTCTCTATCGCTGCTGCTGCTGCCGCTGCCATTACCGCCGTCGCTACTAGCATTTTGAATCTCATGAAAATATGCATTCATTCTACTTCTAGTGACTTCATTTCGTTCCGAATTTGAACTTATTTCTCTTTCTCTCTTCCATTATTTGCTACATTCTTTCGATCCAATAAATACGGGATTCACTCCAAATTGGCCAGTGGTTGTTTCAGGCGTTGCGCATATTATTTTCAAAATACATTTTATTTTTTGTTCCTCCTATTTTTGTTGCTCTTGATTCGTTTTTTAAGTGATTTTTGTCAACGTCACGACGACAGAGTTAATTCAGGGAGTTTTTGTTATGAGTCAAAAGTCGCTTCATATACTTGCCTCTAATTAAATAAGTAAAAGACAGACGAATCCAAATCATTTGCACGCATAAAATAAAACCAAACAAATACAGAAATCGCCACGAATTACATAAACTATGGTTTCCGTTCGATGTTTTCTTGGCCCATTATTATCGTTTTATTGAGAAATCAAGGAATAGAAACAAAACTTTTGTCGGAGATAATATAAACAGTATAAATAATAAAACATCTCAATGGATGAACGATTATTATTGGTGTGGCGGCTGTACTATGTTCCATCGATGAAACGCGGACAGTAGTAATCATTGGAAGAATCAAGTTGACAAGACAAGACGAGGCAAAGATAGAATAGAAAACTAATAAAATCCACGAAAAGAGACGATTTGGAAAAGTTTTGCGTTGTGTGAGTAAGTGAGTTTGCCGCCGCTACTGCTGCTACTGCTACTTGGCGACACATGTTCCCCGATGGATTTACTATATACACCACTAACCGGATAAATCCAATGCAACGTTCATTACTTCGGCTATAATTTATGAAACTCGCTGCTTGAATCCAATTCGATGTGATTTTATTGTTCTGTGCGCAGACCAAATGCAAAAAGTAATATTGACTCAGAACCATTTGCATAAAAATGTCTGTGTTTATTTCAATGTTTGAGCACACACATGCCTGCGGCAAATCGCGAGCGTGCAAAGTTGAAAAAAAAAGAAAAAAAAGAAACAATTGCAGCTTTCTTAGTTATTCGAACGCGCGCGAACAAGATTGAGACATAAGGGACACAAATGCGTTAGATAATATTTGAGTTTTTACTGATGAACTCACACACACAATTTGATTCTCTATTTTTTTCTGTCACATTTTCTGTTTTGCGTTTTTTTTTATTTCGCCTTTGTTGTTCCGGCGCACAAGTGATTATTTTGTTCGAAAGCAAAATATATACACGAAAAATGAAATGAAAAAAGTGGGCAAATGCAAGCTGCTGCCAGCAAATCAAACTGAAATATTCTTCTTTAAATAGAAAATTTATGAAGAAAAACAGTCAGCATTTCTTTATTTTTTCTCTTCTCGAAAAGATAACTGCAAAATAGAAAGCCAGCGGTGTCACCTCAAATTGCAAAACGACAAACATTCGTCGAATGAAAAAGAAAAAGAAGTAACAAAAACGCACATTGAACGGTACACATCAAACTAAACAAAATCCAAACAATATTTTTATGATCCATCCGCTGCTGCGCGTTTACTTAGTCCACAAGCCATGTATATTTGTTTATCGTATTTCGATTATTCCGTATACCATAACATTTTTTGTATGCGATTTGTTTTGTGTCTTTGGGTGCGCTCGCCAATCGCGTTTTGTCTTCGCATCTGGTTAGATTTTTATGTTTAGCTTATGATTTGTTTGCATCGCACACGAATCGTCATTTAGCTTCGGTGATTGTCGGCATTTTTATGTCATATTATGCTTCCTTTTTGTATTTGCATTATGTCGCTAGTGCATTCGCTGTGCTCATCTCTCCGATAAACAAATACCATATTTATGCAGAGTAAATAGAGTCTTTGAATATTGCATATTGCTTTGCCATTTGCGTTTTACTTCACCTTCTTCTTTTGATTGGAGTGTGGTTTTGATGTGGTGGTTCGGAGCAGAGCAAGTTCTCAGAAGAATAACAATAAAATATTGTTAATTTACTTGTTCATTTTTGTATAAATACTCTTGTTGGGTGTATTCGATCTTCAGTGCTGAGGATTTGAACAGACAAACAAATAGACACTTACTGTGTTTTACCGTTCCACAACATTTGCATCGCAGTGCGGAGACACATTCATACACACGCACAGAAATTAGCCAGTTTTATGATGGTTTCGCACGTGAGTGCGCCTGACACATCAATCATGCATTGCAAACGGGCTGGGGAAATTGCTAGGTTTTCATTGTTTGGACAAACACTGAATTGAACCTGGTGTGTGATTGCAGAAGACGCAACTGCACCGAAACATCATTGAATCTAATTTCATGAATTGGAAACGATCTGCTCTTGAGCTATTTACGTATTGCCAATAAAAATGGGAATATGTGTGCGCGCTCACTTTGAACTAACGATCCAACCACAACAATAACAGCAATAATTTGAAATATAAACGGCAAATGACATAAAAACGCAAAGACAATAAACAGATTTCACAGTTTACAGTTAAAATACAAAGAAAATACCGAAAATGCGTGTGAAATTCCCTTAATCAAACATTCGGTGCGTGCGCTAGTGTTAAAGTTTCGGCAAGACGCGATAGACTGAGAAGAAAAAAGTGTGAAAATCATTGTGAAGGCGTAGCAAACGGTATATTGCTATGTGTGTATAAGTTGCGGTTCGCATCTGTTCGCGTTGATTAATGAATT